TATGCTATTTCAAAGCTTAAGTTACAGGTTGTACATCGCACCGTTGCACTTTAGCTTTCAGTGGCGCTGTGAACCGAGCTTTTTAGTTTTTTTCTATACTTTAATTTCAGTTCATTGAGAAGCAGTCGCTAAGTTATTTTTATATCGAACTTAGATTGAAGTTTGTTTTTATTTATAGTTATAAATTATATCACACGTGAAAATTATTTGTAGTAACCAGTAACAAAATGTTGTCTGTATGTTTTTGTGTGAATGTTTCGGTACTACAAATTCAAGGTCATTTTACATTGATGGTGTATTATTTTCTATTAATTATTTCGAATATTTTCCAACGTCTTTCGCAATTTAAATCTAAAGTTAAATTTAAATCGTCAGAATCTTACTTTGGAATTTCACAGATATTTTAAAAAAGGGTCTTCACGACGGACGGACAACAAAGTGATCCTATAAGGGTTCCGTTTTTTTCCTATTAGGTACTTAACCCTAAAAATAAAATCAATGTTTTAAATTAATTGTTGTAAAGTTTTGTTTTGATTAAACACAACGCACTCGGGGGACGATGGCAGAGACAGGAGGAGTAGGGGAGGCGGTGCAGGGGGATGACAAATGCGAATTTTCAACTACTTCCCAACTTATAACAACTTCATCCTTGCACCGGCTTTGTTCCGTACAACTGCGGGATATGGCTTCACAAACATTATTTTAAGCAATTATAAACTTGTTCTCATTTTGAAAACTTGTATTTAGAGCGTCGGTGGCTCAGGGGTCAAGCACTTGACTTGCAATCTACAGGTCCTGGGTTTGAATCCCGCCATGTACCAATGTGTTATTCGATTTCCGATTTACGTATGTACACATCGTGATGTAACCTGGACATATCTGAGAAGAAATTAAAGATATATGTGAAGTCAACCAACCCGCATTTGGCCAGCGTCGTTCACTATGGCCTAGTCAGCCCTAACTTAGGGCAGACTCAGAGCCCCTCAGTTTGGACGTTTAGTGAGCTGATGATGATGGTTTTAAAGGAGTCCTTATTGTGTTTTATACATGTTTACATCATACCTACAGCTTCAAGCCTACCCAAATTAGGGGTTAAGGTCTTAACGTTGGCTCCTGAGCTAAAAATTTCTGTATAAAACATATCGTCATTCCTATCATTACCTTTGACAAAACAGAGATAACAATATGTTCTAAACGTTTTCATGGTGCAGGTAAACTCCAAACACGACTTTGAATTTCATCACAGATATACATATTTTCCTTAATCGTATGAAAGTCGAAAGTCGAATCCAGAACCTATCGACGACAAGTACACAATGCAACAAAGCTAAACCACTGGGGCACGCTTCTTCAACTTAAAATATCGAATTAAAAAGTAATATTTTTTCCAGATCGTATGTTTATATTTTTTTTATATCATAAGGCGGCAAACGAGCAAGCAGCCACCTGAATCGCTGAAACAGCGAAGTGACCGTTGCCCATAGACATACGCAATTGCATATGCGTTGCCTACCTCTAATCGACGGAGGAGAGGTTGCACAGAAAGAAAATATATTCCCTTTCCATGCATCCTCTCATCCGGAAAGTCCACTTCCACTTCCCATCCTTTCCTTATAAGAAGAAAGGTGGGAAGAGAAAGAGGAATAAATTAGGCCTCCGGGACGCACACTCATCAGGCGAAACGCGGAATTGCTTCCACTATATTCCTTTCATTCAATAATAAAAATAACCCAGAACAATATTACAAATTATATCTTACCAATAATATAAATGCCAATGTTTAGATGGATAGGAGAATGTTTATTGAAGATATCATCAGAACGGCTGAACGGACCTCGATGAATTTTGGTATACATATAGAACGTAGAAAGAAAGAACACAGGCTAGTAGTTATTTTTAAATTCCTCGCGGACGGAGACATAGGTGACAGCTAGTAGATAATATTATACGTTTAAAATTTCGTTGCCGTGCAATAAATGAAATTCCGATTCCATTTCTAGTGAGCATGTCGAGTCGCGAAGCGCCTGAAAGTTTTGTATTTGCATGTAAATAGAGTTAAAGCTTTTTTGTTTAAAATCTGAGACGGCTTTTGTTATTTGTTCAACATTACACCCTCTATTGTTTTCATTTCATTGTTTTTATCGTTTACAATTTAAAATGCTGATTGTTCTGTAGACAACGTTTAGTTTCAAGCTCGTATGCAAAATGCTTATTAACATAAATATATATTTTTTATTTATTTCTAAGTAAGAAAAACACTATTTTTAGAAAATGTTATCACAGTTATTCCAAACTCATATAAATATTATTTTACTAATATTATAAATGCGAATGATTAGATGGATGGAAGTTTGAAGGTATCTCCGCAACGGCAGCATGGATCTTCCTGAAATTTGGCATAGATGTAGAACATAGTCTGGAACACAGAGGCTACTTATTAACTTTTGTTGTTAAATCCGCGAGGCCGTGAAGGAAAACATCGTAATGCAACCTGCACATACATATATCTCCTAGAATTTCCCAAGGAGTCTAAAATGACACATTACGTTTGCTTAAACTGCTATTTCGAGACTGGAAATTCATTTTAAAATAACAATAAGAAGAGTCCTTCAAGAAGCGAGCTTATCACCACCTAAAAGGCCGGCAACGCATCTGCGGTTCCTCTGGTATTGCTGATGTCCATGGGCGTCGTTGAACACCTCGGTGTTCCCGCTGCTCGTTTGTCCCCTTCTGTAATAAAATACAGCACCCTTATAAAAAAAAACAATAAACAAAAGATATCTAGCAAAAAACAAATAACAAACATCTAATTATTTAGTAAACTTAATAGTTTGATCACAAAAATGTCTAGGTTATAAAGAAATTGTTTAAATTCCTGCAGCCCATGTCGCGAGGTCGTCGCACCATTGCCACGGCTTTAATGAAATTCCAAAGCTCTTTTATACTGAATTAAAGTCAAATTAAAGTCCGACATTTAAACGTCTTTTGTTCTTGCCCTCTCAATTAACAGCGTTTTATAATTATTTAAGTTAATTTATAAGAATAAAGAAACTAAGCAACATCTTAGTTGGAATAACTTTTAAGATTCTTCTAAGATATCTAACTAATACTATAAATACGAATGTTCGGATGTATGGATAGATATTTGGATGCATGTATCATCACACTGAAATTTGGCATAGATGTAGAACATGATTTGGAAGAACACATAGACTACTAATGAAGTTTTTATTCTGCGTAGACGGAGTCAAGAGCGATAGCTAGTATTAAAAATAATTACAATAATTTGGCAGATAAATATTTTTTTAATTAATACAGTAAGTCCTTTGACAAGGTTAAGTTATTGTTTTTGTAGATGTTTCGGCAGTAGAAACGCCCGGATGTTGCCATACGTTAGAAAAGTACCAGGGCACCATAAAGTCGGGTACACATTGAACTCGGAGCGGAAATGTAATAAACTTAATTGTTAGCCATCTTTACGACATAACTTCAGCTATTCCGCTGATTTAGCTCTACATAAAGTTACCTGGTTTGGTGAAGACTTTGACTTTTAAAAGACAGGACTTGTCATGCGCACATTCCTCTCAATTGAATAAAATAGAACAAAAAGTTCTAAATAAGCGTGGTTGCTGTGTAAGTTTGTAAACTTCGGGTCAATTAGGCGATTGTAAAGAATATCTTTCTACTTTAATGCCCTGCGAAAAGAGACAAATTTATTTTATACAACGTCGGCTCTTTAGCTAGTCCGTTTCTTTATAGTCAAAGGGCAAAGAGATTGGCTCACTCGTGATTCTACTTCAATGGAGATAATTCCGACAATGACTTGAGAAATGAGATTAGTTATCTTTTAAGAGGTCGATGGGGAACGGTTATTTTTGTGAATCTGATCCGGGGATGAACAAAATATTCGTATTTATCTTTTGTGTTTCATAGCCGGCAACGCATCTGCAGTTCCTCTGGTGTTGCAAATGTCCATGGGTGTCTTTGATGACCTCGGTGTTCCCGCCGCTCGTTTGCCCCCTTTTCTTATAAAAAAAGATAGTGATTTTTATATTAAAAATAAGTCGTTGCAAATTTAAATATTCATCATCAGCTCACAATACGTTCGGAGTGAACTCTAATAGGGGTGACTAGGCCATAGTCAACCATGCTGGCCCATTGCGTGTTAGACTTCATACATCTTAGAATTTCTTTGCAGGTATGTGGAGGCATCACGATGTTTTCCTTCACTGTAAGAACATCGGATAAATGTACTTACGTAAATCGACCATCGAAGAACACATTTAGTATATGTCGGGATTCGAATACAAGACCTGCAGATTACAAATCAAGTTCTTAACCCCTGTGCCAAGGACGCTCTATGAATTTAAGTGTCACTATAAACATGTTTCATGCTAGAATAACTTTTGTATTTAATCTTTGTTATTTCAATAAAATACGGTTGTATTTCCGAAATTAATTTCCACATACAAAGGAATCGCGTGACAGCAAATTAAAGTTCAAATTGCACTGTAATTAACATTTTGTGTAAATATTCAAAGCGGTACGTTTCTGTCAACAGCAAAACTGCACTGACGTTGTGAGTTTCCACAACTAGCTAGTTAATATCTTTAACTACGACTTACGTAGTTTAAGTTAAATTCGTAAATAAAAGACAAAAAAAAGGAGAAATTTTTCATAAGAATAATTTACTGCCAAAAAAGTGCGTAAAATAAATTAAATACTCAATCAAGTTTACTTATATTAGTCAAGAGAAAATATAGCGAAAAGCTTATTTTTGTCAAAGTTAGATTGACTATTTCTGTAAATTGAATCAAAGAGAATTCGAAATATTTGTTTGTTCTTATTTTTTTTTATTTTATCTATTTTAACATAAGACATGGACTTATTAAATAAAATGGAGTTATTAAATAAAAGAAAAAAATAACATGCGAATGCTTTATTGTGCATGGAACAAGGGACAAGAATGGGATACATAATTACTTCGTCCAGTACATTATTTAGTGCTTGCCCAGATAGCCGCCGTATCCGCCAAGACTGTATCCGCCGTATCCGCCGTGTCCGTATCCGCCGTATCCTCCAAGACCGTATCCACCAAGACTATATCCTCCGAGACCGTATCCTCCGTATCCACCGTATCCTCCTAGGCTGTATCCAGATGAAATGATGGGGGTGGAGACGGTCTTAAGTACGGGAGCTGAGATTATGGGAGCAATAGGCGCAGAGATGATAGGGGTGGATACGGTCTTGATGACTGAGATTGGGGCAGCCTTGATCAGACTGGCAGTAGAGATCGCGGGAGCCGTGTAGATGGGGGCAGTTATTATCGGAGCTGAGTATCCTGGAGACAAGAATATATCGAACTATTATAGAAAAATATTTTTTAAGAAAAACAAGTTGATGAATATATTGGTGGGTTAAGTCGTAAAGATAAAATATTAGCATATTTTATGCTATTAAGTATTATACAAAATAATTAATATTTACATTCTGTTGGGAAAAAAATAAAGTAATTCTTTGTTCATACTAAATTCTACCTAGTTTCAGTTTTTATTTATCGCATTTCTATAACGTAATATTTTCATGAAATAAAACATCTATTGTTAATGTTTTAGGACTAAAACTCAAAGTATTAATATCATTGACTATCTTAGTAATGAATCTTAATTGTTACTTACCATAACTTAAGCCACCATATCCGCCATAACCGGAAGGAGCTCCTTGAGCAACAGCCAACAGGCAAGCGACCTGAAAATTTTGCAAAGAAAAATATTGTTTACAACAACAACTTCAAAGTAACGTAAAACATAAATAACAAGAAGCTGATATGTGCTAAATAGATCTAGGATCTTGAAGAAAAAAGTTGGGTTAGTGATTACAGAGAGGGATATGTTTATCTTACTTCTTACTAATATTATAAATACGAATGTTTGAATAGATGTTTTTTTAGAAAATATCTCCAGAACAACTGCAAAAATCTTGCTGAAATTTGGCATAGATGTAGAACATAGTCTGGAAGAACACATAGGCTATTTATAATGTTTATTTTATTTACACGGACGGAGTTGCGGTCGACAGCTAATATAAATGCAATAGTGAATTAATGAATGAGTTAATTTCTTTCACAATTTAATTTCCTTTGCTTGATCGATTTACTACAACAATTATGTGAATATTGAGTAAGTATTTACTACGTAGTCACGCTCTATATGCAATAAACATTATGTATGTATGTATTTATGTCGTGGTAGGGCTAATGGAAATTTTTATCAATTATGTCATATTAGATTTTAAATAGTATTATAAAAAAAATATGTTACAGACTAAGATTTTTTTGTTTATTTTAGAATAACATTTTATTGAATTATTGTTAACACTAGCCGTCGCCGGCAGCTCCGTCCGAGTAAATTAAAAAAAAAACATTATTAATAGCCTATGTATTCTTCCAGAATATATTCTACATCTATGCCAAATTTCAGCGAGATCTGTACATACGTTCTGGATAATTTCAAACAAACATCCATCAAAACATTCGCATTTATTATATTAGTAAGTGGTCTTTAGTTTCCATGATTAAAATCCCTGTATAAAACATATTGCTATCCCTATTTTGTCGAAAATAATGAAAGTGATGACAATATGTTATACAGGGATTGTGGTCTTAGAAACCAACGATAAGCGATGTTTTGCTTTTGAAATTTTTGTATTAATGATAATAAAAACAAAAATTATAGAGCCCAAAACAATTTGACACATTTAAATAAGAAATAATCATAAATAATGTTGCCAGATTCAAAAATATATTTTTTGATATATCAACCTGAAGGTCCAAAATAGTAAAATATATACGACTTTTTATGATTATCAAATAAATAAATATATATTTGTATACTTACAGCTATGTAGGCGAACATATTGCTAGTATATCTTCAGACGAAGTATACTGTTGTTTGTGGAGGCAAGATATTTATAATGCTACGATTTCCTGCGACCGCCGAAATACGTAGCGATACACGCAAATGTTGCAATTCCGACCTGTTTTGTTAATTTACATCAGCCATCCTTGTTACTGTTACGACCAACGGAAAAGTTTTCCTTTGTCAACTTTTTGTTATACTAAGTTACTCAAGTAAAAAGTAATTGTCCTAAAGTCGGTACGGAAAAATTCTATCCCCATTTCTAGACTACAGTTTAGTGGGTCTAGCATGAATATTTGTGACAATGTCTATCGTATCGTTATCGACAAAATTTGTGCAGCGCCCCCTATCAGGTACAAAGTACATCAAAAAACTCATACTTATTTTCACACAAGTATTCGTGCTAGGCCTTCTGTTTTGAAAATGCATGTCTAACATTTTTTTGTAGAACTGAACCTAATTTATTTTTATTTTATTATCTACGTGGTGACAACACTAGAATTAATAAGTCAAATTACCTATTTCCTAGGATATCATAGCTATTAGTATATTATAGAGTAGTGAACAAATAATGCTTAGCTAATATCAATAAAAAAAAAACAGTTTTAAAAATCTTTGAAAAGCAGTTTTTATTATAGAAAATGATTACTTTGGTTATAAATTATAAAAAGTGCTTGGTTAAACGTCGGGAGATGTACTATCATCACTTATGGGGACTTGTTATACAAATTAAAAAAAATTAACTAACTTTTCCTAAATATGCAGTCAGTTAAAGATCTCTAAAATAATGTAAATCATAATCAAATAATCCTTGAGGAATTTTAATTGTTGCATTTATTTACATTGTAAGATTGTGTAGAGTGAATAGGCACTTACTAAGCTAGCGCGTACCATCTTTTGACCAAATCTCCACTTCACCAGGTGGGATCGTGGTCAAGCGCTAGCTTATAAAACGTAAAAAAAATATATATAAAATCACGAATTATTCGTTAACAATCGTTAAACCTATTACAAAATCTTATACGAGTATATAAAATTCTCGTGTCACAATTTTCGTACCCATACTCCTACGAAACGGCTTGACCGATTCTCATGAAATTTTGTGAGCATATTGTGCAGGTCTGAGAATCGGCCAACATCTATTTTTAATCCCGCGCGTACGGAGTCGCGGGCGACAGCTAGTTAATTTATATAATTTTCTTCTCCTCTTTTCATAAACGAACACAAATTGAACCATTGATAATTAACCCTTATTGTGGCAAGATTACATTTTTGAAGAAAAGAAAAAAACAAAGTTAAAAAAAAACTAAGTAAAAATTATTTTATAGTAAAAAAATGAAAAAAAAAATGAAAAAATCTTTATTGTTATACACAAGAAATTCAAATTCAATGTTGCCTTGACTCCTTAACTAGGAAGACCTGTACTTAAGGAGAAAAGGACTTCCCATATATATAAATTTAATAATTGTTTGTGCAGAAAAACAACTAGTTTATGAATATAGTGATCGTATATTTTTAAAAAGTTGTATATATGGTATACTATACAAAATAAACATAAGGGTTAATTAAAAAGTTACTTTATTACTTTAATTGCCAATAAACGTATTATTAACATAATATTTAATCAAAAAAAAAAATTTTTTTAAGACTCATGTAAATTTTTCGCTTTATCATTGTACTAGTTGTCGCCCGCGACTCCGTCCGCTCGGAATAAAAAAAATAATTAGTAGCCTATGTGTTCTTCCAGCCTGTGTTCTACATATATACTAAATTTCATCGAGATCCGTTCATCCATTCTGGATATATCTTCAAATAAACATCCGTCCATCCATCCAAACATTCGCATTTATAACATTAGTAAGATTTATCTATTTTTATTAAAATCGTATTATACAATAAATACTTCGCGAATATATTTTTGACCAATAAAATATGTTATAAAATATCAAAGAGTTTATTTGTTTCAATCTGTGTCCAAACACAATTTACGATTATGTACACACAGGCACCGCCTACAATATTAACAGAGATCCCGAGAGAGTTGGGACTCTTTAATTCTGTCTGAATCTCTAGAGATTGTTTTCCAATATTGTAATCGATTGAACAGAAACTTGGAAAACATTGGAGTGAATAAAACTAGGGAAAGAAAAAAGAACAGTGGGTGTAGCACGAATATTTGCGATTAGCTTAGTAACCTGGTCTAGCAGTATGACAATCAACTCGTTATTTATTGCGTTTACAATATAATCATTTTTCCTTAACTAACCCAAAAAAACACACTTATGTCGAAATTAGTATAAGCTTTTTGGTATAATTTACGCCGGATAAACCACAAATTTTGTCTATGATGGTTCGAAGGTGATTGTCACAAATATTAGTGCAGACGTTAGATATAACTCAAGTTATATCTAAGCTCAAGCTTTCCATTATATTTAATTATTAAATCAATAAAAGTCACAATTTTTTTTTATTTTCCTTAAATTTTTAGATCTGAATGTCAACTTCTTTTGATTGTTCAATGTATTAGAAAATCTGTTTTACACAATTTGTTTTCAGAATTACGAAAAACTGTTATGAATTATTTCTTCCTATTTGTATATGAAGTTATGAATAAAACTGTAATCGTAGTATAAAACGATTCAAAGCAATAGGAAAAGATTAATCATCCCGTGTCCCGGGAAAAGCAATCACGCTGTTTCCACTGAAACAACTTTGTAAAAACATATATCGTTATCTCTATTTGTAAAAGGGAATGAAAAAGGATCACACTATGTTTTTGTACAAGTTTTCAGACAGTGAAAATTCATAATAAAAGACATTGAATTTATGTAAAAAAGACATCGAACGAAGCGCAATGTTCGATGATCCGTTAAAATTATTCGAATAACTCGATATTAAACGATAAATCGATTTAATTACGAGTCGATTTTCTATAGATTTATCATTCGAATTATGCTTAAACATAATTTGTTATTTTAATTACGATAATTTACCTAATTTGTTCGTAAGTTCCTCACGCAACGGTTACGTCATTTAAAATTAAAAACTGCAGTGTTTTGTTTCAACTAAGACTAAAAATATGCGTATCCTGGGACAAAATATTAACTTATTTTTTAGCTATGTGCTACATATGTGCACATTAAGCAGTCAACGGTGTAGTGAAAATAAATACTTTTATACTTTAAAAAATAATAACTCCATTAAAAGGATTTTATAAAAACATATAAGTATACAAAAGACTATAATTGTATTAACAAAATATTGGTAGGTTTTTGGTCATTTTTTATTTTATTTTATAATATATTATAAGTTGGCAAACGAGCGAGCGGCCACCTGAAATCGTTGAACTAGCGAAGTGACCGTTGCCCATAGACATACACAATTGCATATGCGTTGCCTACCTTTAAAAACTTCATTCATTATTCATTTTCAGTCATTTTCTAATATATCTTGTTGCATTCCAAACTCTCTACGATTTACTGCAATAATCGAATGGCAAGTTTCGAATCCTCTATCACGTGATCGTAAATCCGTACTCTTAACTATCAAGCTATGGGCACTTCTGTCGATTAATATTTATGTTAGTGCATCATCATCATCAGCTCACTATACGTCCCCACCGAGGGGTTCGGAGCCTACCCTAAATCAAGGGTGACTAGGCCATAGTCAACCACGCTGGCCCAATGCGGGTTGGTTGACTTCACACATATCTTTGAATTTCTTCTCAGATATGTGCAGGTTGCATCACGATGTTTTCCGTCACCGTAAGAACTTCGGATAAATGTACATATGTAATCGGAAATCGAAAAAACACATTGGTACATAGCGGGATTTGAACCCAGGACCTGCAGATTGCAAGTCAAGTGCTTGACCCCTGAGCCACCGACGCTGTTAGTGCATACCTCAATATTATTAGTAAAGATGCAATTTAAGTGTTGTTTAAATGAAGACCTTCTGAAGCATCTCAATAGTTTTTTCTACAATTATAATGAAGTCAGTAATAACTTAATACTTAATTATATTTATTTCTGCATGCTACGCTTGGTTTGACGCGATTTCCACTCAGTAAATAACATCAGTGAGGTATAGTACATTAATTATTTTGCTAATGGCTACAATTGCTTTGTACATTATTAAGTGTATTATAAATGTATTTAACACTAGCTATCGCCCGCGACTCTGTCCGCGCAGAATTAAGGAAAAACTTAACAAGTAGCCTATGTGTTCTTCCAGATAATGTTATACTCGTACATCTATGCCAAATTTCATCAGAATATATTATATTAAAACAGTCTTAAACGGCTCAACGGATCTCAATGAAATTTGACATACATATAGAACATATCTACAAATTATGTTTTTTTTTAATTCCACGCGGACGGAGTCGTGGGTGACAACTAGTATTTATATACTCTTAACTTTCTTTAAAGTTTGTCGAATAATTCAAATATTTCTGTTATCACTACAAAGAGCAAGCTTTTCTCGCTAAGAAATGAAATTACAACAATCTCTGGGCGCAGCGGGCGGCAGCTGAGTACGTAGGAAATGAACAGAGCGCTTGAGAATTTTAATTACCACTTTACGTTGACCACTTCGCAGTTTGTACAGCTCCTGCAGCGCTTTATTACTAAGTTATTCAGATGTATATTTCGTTAAAAATAGTTCAATTTATATTAATTTAAATTTATATCATACTTCATAATAATATTATAAATGCGAATGTTTAGATGGATGGATGTTTGAAGATATCTCCAGAACTGCTGAACGGATCTCGATGAAATTTTGCATACATATAGAACATAGTCTGGAACGACACATAGGTTGAAAATATTTTTTTTTATTCCGCGCGGACGTATTAACAGGCGACAGCTAGTAAGGGATATAATCAATATATACAAGTATACTTTCAAAGGCTACACATGTATTATTGTATTCGTTAATTTCCGGTTTATGCATGAAGAGGGATGAAGGAGGCTCTAGGGAGGCTGTGCATTAAGCTAGGTAACGA